TCAGCAGGATGCAAGAACTTGCTTGTATCCTGCAATTTTGTCTATGTTTAGGATGTTTTGTCTCTTTTTATATCTTGAAAGTTTAATCTACCATTTTTTAGTTTTGAGACTGGAGCATGAGCTGCATATACCTTTGGCCTGTCTTACCTGTCCTGCCTTGCATTACTTTATGTATTATTTAAGTTTTTTGTGAGTTTTTTTGTAAATTCGCCTATTTCAGAATGAACTGTTGGTCTTTTGTTGCTACTACTGCATGTAGAATGTTATACATAGGGAGATCTATTTAAGTTTTGTCCCTAAGATATTAGGGACCTATTAGTGTTTGTGATTTCAGGTAATATTTAAATTTCTCTGCATCCACAAGGTGGTGCTCCAGGGAAACTCCAGCTTTTGATTTTGTGACTGTCAGATCTGCTGAACAACTTTTATTTTGAGTTTGCATATTTTGGTATATGGCATTCTTAATGTGTAGCTTGTCTGACTGGGGTTGGGAAGAGGGTTTGCAGCATTGTGCAAGAAGTCCACTTTGGTTTTAATCAAGGAATGGGTACAATGCATGAGAAATTTATGGCACAGGCAAGACCTTGATAGTGCTGTCCAAACACGTTACAACATATATATGCAAAAGCGAGCGAGGTAAGTTAAACACAGATCTGGTAAGCCTTTTTCTAGTCTCCTTCTGTTTATTTCCAGTACTTTCAGGTATATTTTCAGAAATGAAAGCCTATAGTCTTGAGTGGTAGAAACTTTTTCAGCCAAAAAAGGTTTAAAAAAGGTAAAGTTCTATAATCATTAATATGAAGGCAAAATCTCTTCCCTTTAGCATACTTTGTACAACAGAGCAGAAATCATGTGGAGATGATTTTTGAGTGGTGTGAGAGTGCCAAGTAGGTACTCTGTACGTCTACACTTCCTTCCATCTCTGTTCTTAATGGGCTTTGGATGCTCAGAATCTCTTCCTTGTCCCACATTGCCTTGTGGCTGTAAAGTAAAGGAGTTGTCATGCTGAACAAGTATATAGGGAATTGGGAAACGTCCCTTAGGAAAACCAGCAAAATGGGAGTGGTGGCATCAGTGCTGAGTGATGAGATGTCATTTCAAATTAAATATGTAATGTATACAACCTTTTCGTGTGTCACTAAACAAGTATGTAGTAACAGCACTCAGCGAGTGAGAGGATGAAGGAATTTTTCAAGCGTCCTTATACTGTGTATGCAAAAGGGATATTGTATTATTCTTTAACAGTCTCCATTACTTCGAAGATCAAAAGGAACTATACTGGTAAACTAGCACAGGTCATGGCTGATATGCTTGGCAGTCAGAAGGAAATAGTTGTGTCCTTGCTTTCATCTTTATTAACGATATAAAAGGACTTTTATTTGCTTTTTAGCAACTTACCAATCATATTCGGGATACCCTGCCAGCCTTCAGAAGCAAACTTCAGAGCCAGCTGCTTTCTATAGAACATGAAGTAGAGGTATACAAAAACTTCAGACCAGAAGATCCAACCAGAAAAACAAAAGCCTTGTTGCAGTGAGTGTCTAGTCTTTTGTCTGCTTTTCCACTTTGTACAGATTTGGTTTGCATGGTTGTTTTTTTTTTTAATCTTTCAAATAGGTTTAAATTTAAAGATTAGGATATGGTTAAGGATTCTGTATGCAAACTCCAAAGAATTCTGTGCTGGATGTTCCAGAACACTTTATTTACTCTACAATTTCAGCAGGGTTTTCCCTAAATCAATTTCAGTAATCCTAGAAAAGAGAGAAAGCAGAACAGGAGATGGTACAAAGGTGGGCAACATAGATGATCAAAGGTAAGAAACTGCTTCTGATTGTATAGAGACATTCTTCAGCCTGCCATAAAGATGACCTCAAGCAAGGGGAGGAGATTGTATTAGAAGTCTGTAAGATGAGGAGTCTGAAAGAAGAATAGGGAATGCGTCTTTTTTCCAATATAAAAACTTGGCTATCAAAAAGAACTTGAAGATGGCGAGATTAAAATTAATCATAGATGGTGGTCCTTCATGTGATGTGAACCTAAGCCACAGAGCTCTTTGCTGCAGGAGCTGATCTAAAAATTCATGTGCTTTCAGAAAGCAGCTAGGCAAATTCTTGGGGATGGGGAAAACATTTATGGTTAGTAAATTCCAGAAACCACGAACAGCAATTCATTGAGGCCAAGAGAGTATTCTGGAAAATTATTACTGTGTGCTTGCTCTGTTCTCTTGGTGACTGTCATGATATGGCTTTTGTTCAGCTGTAATGCAGCCATTCTTATGTTCAAGTGATAGTGTATTTAGATGGGTGAAAACCTTTTTCTTGCGGTTTGCCTCTGAGTGTGCATCTGACAACTAGCAGCAAAATAGGTGATGTCATGTGCCACCTGTGCTTGTGTTAAAACTGACCTGGCAGATGTTGGACCCTTTTGGGCTCAAGAAGTCATGAACTGAATACTGTTGTTTGTTGGAGGAACTGCAGCAATTTCTGAAGCTAGATTATTATCGCAAGTTCTGAACTAGAAAGCTTTTTCACTGCTGAAGTCACTGTCCAGTTTGGGTCTTATCCACAAAATAAGTGTGTCGTGTGTTGTCCCCCCCCCCCCCCCCCCCCCCCCCCCCCCATCTAAACAAAAAAAGAGACACATGTAAAATCTACCTAGCTCTTCTCTCTTACATGACTGTTGTCACATTCCTACTCTGACTGATTTCAGAGGTTTTCAGCCTTCTCTGTTCTCTGGGATACATGGTAATAACACTGGATTGTGAAAATGTGTAAATTTCGAGTAGGATTTGTTCTCTAATTATAAGTCTGGAATTCAGAAGACAGAATGACTTCACCTGAACTAGAGAGACTTCCTTGAGCAAGCTTAAGACTCTGACTTACTCCTTGTTTTTGTAACAACTGTGTCCAAAAAAGTAGACATAAGTCTGTCCGTCATGACTTTACTTCAGATATTTTGGTTACAAAAACAGAGGGACATCGCCTTTGACTCTTCCATGACGGTACAACACAGGTGGATTTTTTCACTCTGTATGTTTGGTGACTTAACTGCTAGAAACACATATGAAATATTGTGAATTGTTAGGTGTTGCTGGTATCTCATGCTTGTTCTACTATTGTAACATGTTCTAAAGGAACAATAATTTAAATGCATTTCAGCCTAAGTCATCCTACTTGATATTTCTCTGCATAGTTTTTTATAACTCCTTCATTATAAGTAGCTGCTATAGGAGAAATTAACTTCTTTTGTCAGTAAAATTTTGGGGTGTGGAAAGTAACATAATTAGAACCCTTTCCTCCACTTCTTGAGAACAAGTTCCATAATCATAGAATCATAGAATTGTTCAGGTTGGAAAAGACCTTTAAGATCATCAAGTCCAGCTGTTACCCTAATGCTGCCATCCCACCACTAAACCATGTCCCTAAGCACCTTGTCTGCCCGTCTTTTAAATACCTCCAGGGATGGGGACTCAACCACTTCCCTGGGCAGCCCATTCCAGTGCTTGACAACCCGTCCAGTGAAAAAATTTTTCCTAATGCCCAACCTAAACCTGCCCTGACACAACTTGAGGCCATTTCGCCTCATCCTATCACCTGTTACCAGGGAGAAGAGACCAACACCCACCTCACTACAGCCTCCTGTTAGGCAGTTGTAGAGGGTGATAAGGTCTCCCCTCAGCCTTCTCTTCTCCAGACTAAACAACCTCCGTTCCCTCAGCCGCTCCTCATCAGACTTGTGCTCCAGACCCCTCACCAGCTTTGTTGCTCTCCTCTGGATATGTTCCAGCAACGCAACATCTTTCTTGTAGTGAGGCGCCCCAAACTGAACACAGGATTTGAGGTGCGGAGTACAAGGGGATGATCACTTCCCTACTCCTGCTGGCCACACTATTTCTGATACAAGCCAGGATGCTGCTGGCCTTCTTGGCCACCTGGGCACACTGCTGGCTCATATTCAGCCGGCTGCCAGCCAGTACCCCCAGATCTTTTTCCGCTGGGCAGCTTTCCAGCCACTCTTCCCCAAGCCTGTAGCGTTGCATGGGGTTGTTGTGACCGAAGTGCAGGACCTGGCACTTGGCCTTGTTGAACCTCATATGGTTGGCCTTGGCCCATCAATCCAGCCTGTCCTGGTCCCCTGCAGAGCTCTCTTCCCTTCGAGCAGATCGACACTCCCACCCAGTTTGGTGTCATCTGCAATAATGCATGTGAGGAAAAAAAAAAAAAAAATCTGCCTCAACCCTTAAGATGATCTTAAGTTTCTGCAGTCCTCTTCAAAAATTGAGCCTGAGGCCTACACTTAGACTGTTTCTATAATTCTGTTAACCTGGCCATGTAGGTATCTGAGGGTTATGTACAGTTGATATGCAATGTTACTTTTTGGCAGAATCTGTCATTTAAAATTTTATGATCAAATGCCTTTACTTAAAAAAAATAAAATTGAGCTGTCCATGAACCTTCCATAACTGGAGAATTTCTCATGTGTGTTCTTCGAAATGCTCTGTCTGCAGAAGTCTAAGCACAACCAAGTAAGCTGGAGCTTGTGGTACTGACAGGTGCCATGTTGATGTGTTCTTGGGCTAGCTTTTTGGCATAGGAAAGTAAGTTCCTTAGCAGTCTCTTCCAAATTTTCCAGCACTGGATCAGCTTAGTGGCTTGATTCACATCATGCTATTGGACTGCAGCTTTTTGAGAGATATTAGAAAGATCAAAGGGTCATTGTGGAGAAGTAAGCTCTCTCTAGACGGTATTGTTTGCCATAAGATTGGAGATTTTTGCTTGTGGTGGTCTGCCCTGTTGAGCTCTGCAGTTTCTGTAACAGCATCTAAATATGGATGTGCTTTTCTATTCAAATACAGTAAGTATTGTAACTTAAAAGTCAGGACTTCTATTTGCTTATCCTACTAAAAACACTCATCACTTTTTCTTCTCCTAAAAAAAAATAAATGTATGTAATAAATACTGGTAGCAGTTACAATTTTGTGATCATTGATAAAACACAAATGTAGCCTGGTACCCTGCTGTATTTGTAGCTGACTTTACAGCTTAATAAATAATTTTTCTTTTTTTTTTTTTTTTAAATACAACATCTGTGAAGAAAATAATATACTAAGCTACATGCTGCAAGAGAGAAGGGTGTAGGGGTCTGTGTGTAGGTATGGGTTTTATGGATTGGCAGCTTGACTGAATGAATTGTTATAGGTACTTTTGTCAATTCCTAAATAAGCTTTAATAGGCGCTAGTAGTCACATAGTACTGAAGTAAGAGTTGGTAGTTGGCATGCTTAAATGGTTGTGTTTGGTCTTTTTTCTCCCCCCCCTTTTTCAATTTAGGATGGTACAACAGTTTTCAGTGGACTTTGAAAAAAGAATCGAAGGATCAGGAGATCAGGTTGATACACTAGAACTTTCAGGAGGTGCCAAAATCAACCGTATTTTCCATGAACGTTTTCCTTTTGAACTAGTGAAGGTATTTATCCATCTTGCTAGTCTGCTTTCTGTTTTATTTATGTATTCTTATGTTCATACTGATAGTAGTAAAGCCAAGATAAGGTCTGATTGGAAGAACATGCTCTTAACTGTGGAAGAAATTAGTTTAAGTTATAATTGAGACATTTGGCTTTGTTTCTAGTTTTGGATAGTGAAATACAGGAATTAGTCAGAACTCGGACTATAATTATATTCTATTTTCTATGCTTTTTTTATTTTTTATCACAAATGGCATTTTCCTTCTGGTTAGACGGGGCAGACAACTACACTTGGTAAGTTTAAGTTGTGTTCAAGTAGCTAGCACCCATTAAAATTAGAGCTATGGAAAATAGCCATTTTCTGTGTGTTCTACGTCCTGTATTCAGTGCATTGAACCAAAGCCAGCTTTCAGTCCTACACTTTCATAGTGGGAGGTAGAGCAGAAGCAAATTTGATGTTTTGAGGTAACTTTTCTCCTCTTGATACATCTCTTCTTGCTTAGCCATCCTTTGGGTAACAGAATAAGTGGAGGTCCAGTGGGGTGTGAACTAATGAAACCTGTTTTCCTATGAATTTGTGTTACATATTCTTTTTTCTTTCACTGCAGTGACTTCAGCTTCCCCTCACAATGAACTCTACTGTATCTGTAGTCCCCATTCTTTTATGCTTTTCTTAAGCTTCCTTTCCACCCGTTTTATGTTCAACTGTCTTGACATCCCCTAACTTTCAGTTGAGTAAGAACCAGACATGGTTGTGGCTGGTTCCAAGGTTTAAAATGTGGTAGGTCAACTAGCAGTCCAACAGAACAGATGGCAGTTGGGCTTAAGTAATGACCCTCTCATTTGCGATAATGCTAACTTCTCTTCCAGCTAGCTGGCTTTCAAGAAACTTAAAGAAAAGCTTTATAACTTCGTAACTGAGATCACTGCTCTTAAATTTGGTTGAAAAACAGTAGAATGGTAAGGGGAGGATAAACAGACCATAATCAAAAGAAGTTGCACCACTTTAGGAAATCAGGCTTAAAAAAATAAGTTGCATCTTCCAAATCCTGTTTCTGGCTTACTCTATCAACTCTGCAAAATCGTTCCAGCTATTAGTATATCTGGAATGGATGGGTGCATAATTTTCAAGAGTCCTTACTGTTGCGTGTAGCCTTAGTGTTAAAATGTTTTAAAATACTTATTCTTTGTTTAGTGTAGTTAGAAATTAATATTTTGCCAGCTGAACTTGCCTGTCTTCCAGTTATATTGAGAGAGGTAATATTTTCCATTTTATTAAAAATTTCCTCTAATATGATCTCATACGCTTTTGTTCCTCTAGATGGAATTCAATGAGAAGGAACTGCGGAGAGAAATAAGTTATGCCATCAAGAACATACATGGTATCAGGCAAGTGCTGCCATGTTTTCAAGCCCAGTCATATTATAGAGGGTGTGGTCTTTTCAACTTGTGGGCAGTGGGCTGTTGACTGCTAGACTACTTTACTAATGCATTGCTCCCAGCAGCTGACTTTTTTTCTCCAGTCCCTTACACTTCTGTTTTTCAGGTAGCTCTTTTGGGCCAAAGAGTTGGTTTGCCCCAAGAGGTTTAATTTACCTGGAAATGCTGGAAAACTATTTTACAGAGAAAATATTTTTTTTTTTTTGGTATTGTCTGCAGTTCTCTTAAGCCTGTATTCCTGAAACATCATAAGTGTTAAAGGGAAAACTTGTGTGTTGATGTGGAATAAACCTTTCAGCTTTTGTTGCAGCAGACTCCTTGCACTATCTTACTCCCCTTTTTTCTCAACCATTTCTTGAAATGACTTATTTACAAGTGAGTTGGCTGAGGTTTCACTTTGTGGATATGTCTGCAATATATCAGTAGGCTTGGGAAGAGGAGGTTTGGTTTTTTTGGTTTAGAATGACCTAATTATTTCACTTGGGGACAATCAGTCTACTTTGAAGGGACACTTTATCAGATGCCTACTCTTTTTTTTTTTTTTTTTTGTTCTTTTGACAATAGAACAGATTCAAAAAATCTTGGGTTCTTTTGTGGATTTGGTTGGTTTTGGTTTTTTTCTTCCTCTCTTTCTACTCATTTGTAAGTAATAGCTTTTGAAAGCATTGCTACAAGCTTTGTTGTTCTTAGTGTTTTGGAAAATGGTCTTTGCGTTACTTCTATAGTAAATTCCCAAATGGTTGACTGTAGTAGCTGTGGTGCAGTATTTGAACTTTTCTGGCCTTATTGATGGAAAGGTCTTGAGCAATTTATGATACGGAACTGATAGTTTTGGGCATGGTTTTATGGTTTGCTTTTTAATATAATTTATCTAGCAAGATAGACCTTTGCAAGCAGTGTTTGAAAGGGAAGTAAGGCCTATTTGTTTAGAACTGGTTCTGCGAGGTATCTGTTATATAGGTTCATATACCCTGCAGTGACCAACTGTGAAATTCTCCATATAGGAGTCTGAGTAACAGAACCATATTTCCTGTCGTGAGTGAAGAGAAAAGTGCAGCTGTAGGATTCTTATGGATTTGCTGTACAAGTGATTGTGCGTGGAGTGCTGCAACTGCTATTCATCCCTCTTCTAAGGTGTGATGCACTGCTGAAGAGGCTTTATTGCATTGTATCAGTACTCTTTAGAGTTCTTGCAGTCATCTTCAGGTCGTAGGGCATGTTTCTACTTTTATATTCTTACTCACAATGACACTTCTTTAGAGAAAGGAGCAAATTTAGTTCTGTGTAGGGTTTGTTATTACTCAGCTGTAAGCCTCTGAAAATGAAGATACAAGCAATTCAGTAAAAAAAAAACATTCCTTCAGTCATGTTTTTATTACTGTTTTACATATTCTTTTATGCCCACAGAACAGGTTTGTTTACTCCAGATATGGCGTTTGAAGCCATTGTTAAAAAACAGATAGTCAAGCTGAAAGGACCTTGCTTAAAAAGTGTGGATCTGGTGATGCAAGAGTTAATCAACACTGTCAAGAAGTGCACTAAAAAGGTAACTTACAAATAGATCTGGTAATGTAAGTATCACGTAATGGTATGGTAGATAATATAAAGCCTGTCTTGTCTTGCATTTTACAGTACTGTAAGACATTTCTGATCTAGTCACTTGTACAGAGTAAGACTAAAGTAATTACAACTTTTGCAAAACTCTCAAAAGAATGTAATGCTGGGAATGTTCATTTGATTACTGTGTTTTGAATACATATACACACACCTTAAGATGGGAGGTTTTTTTGAGTCAAGAGTTGTCCCCAGTTTCCTCTTTAAAACCGTGTTTTCAGTGGTACTGAAAATGGAACATAGGGAGCATTTCCATGGATGTGTAAATCAGCACAAAAAATTGTACTATAAAGTTTTCCTTTCCAGCGCTAAAAGAGGAAGAAACAGTGAAACTTTTCTAGAGCAAAAGCCTCAAATGTGTTCAGAGATATCTATCAAGGAGAGAAAAATGCTCTTTCTATTTTGAAACTTTACTAGGTAGCACCACAGTTCTTTGCAGTGTAATGGGTCCACAACTTTTTTCATACACAACCCCAAAACATCTGGTCTCCAGCTGTCAAGTTAGAAGTGGAAAGCTAGGAAGACTTTATCTCCCTTGTACTTGTACATCCATGCATTAGTGTTAACAAATAAGCTTTCTGCACAGAAACGTTGAATAATTCGGTGGTAAGAACTGCTGAGCATTGAAATTCCTGATGTGAAAGTTGTGTGCATCAATTAAAATTTTAACTCGAGATCCTGCAAGTGTAATAAATTAAAAAACACATTCAGCAAAACTAAACACAGTATTGCTATGAGTATTTGGGAATGGTTTTCCTGAAATATGTGCTTGGGTTATTGTATACTCTTAGAATGAAACATCAAACTTCATGCCCCCCTTAGCTGTGGCTAAGGAAGCACATCAGATGTATTAGTATGAAGCTTCTTTTTTTCCTCACACTTTTCACCTTCATAGGAAAATTGTCATCTGTAAACACTGTGACTTGCTTGTCTGGAGCATTGACAACTAATGGTTGCTGATTTTCAATTCTCTTTTCTCCCATTACTCTGTGATATTCTAGAAGATCCCTTTGACTTGTAGACTTCTTAGCTAGCTGGCTGCTTTTATTGTCTCACCTTCTGTTCATCTGTTTTTCCCAGCATCTCAGAGTGCAGGGTACCCTAATAATAGCAAGTTCTGGGATGTCAGCACAGGTATGCTGAAGTTGTTACAAAATATCTTTTTGCATCCTTTGCATTTTTTTGAATAATGCAATTTTTTTATACCAATGAGCAGTTAAAGGAGTTATTTCTTAAAACATTTTGAGCAGAGTTTCCATTTTTTTTCACTTTTGTCAAGGTTTGGAAGATATGGCCTTGAATTAATTGTGCAGATTCTTTTCCCAGTGCTATTGGCCAGATTTACTGTTGTGTTTTGCTGTTTACATTTTAAAGTCTTTATTGAGATGTAAAGATGTTGCCACAAGGTGGAGCCTTCAAAGAACAAGAAACTTGGAAATTTTTTAAAGCGCCACTCTGGACTCAGGCACAGTAGAAGAGAGAGGCATGGAGAAACCTAACCCCAAGGCTGATAAAGTGTGCTTCACATGTCCAAAGTGTCTTTTCCTCAATGTTCCATGGAGCAAAAGCACAGAAACAATCCTAGGTTTTAGGTCTCCCCAGTTTCTATGGAAAATGACCGTTAATGGCAAGTAAGACTTGCTTTTAGTGTAGTTATCTTTTAGCCCAAGCATTTATAATAATTGCTTTCTTCCAAAGAGGAAGACTGGAGGCGCCCCCTGTTTGTATGCTACCGAAACCACCCTGCAAGTGTAAATTTCTATTAATTTTGCTTTTCAGTTGGCAACATATCCAAGGTTGTGTGAGGAAACAGAAAGAATTGTTGCTGGCTACATTCGTGAAAGAGAAGAGAAGACCAAGGATCAGGTGAGAATAAACTGGAGGTCTAACAGCTTAGGGAAGTGTGTGAAGGAGGAAAGTGCTTATGCACAAAGTAGGCTAAGACAATGAAAGTTGGGTTTTTTTAAATTTTTTTTCCCCAGCAGGCTGCACGTTTTAGAGAGGCAGAGAAGTTGCTCCTCTACCATTGACCTTTGACAGAGGGGAATTGTTACAGAAAACCTGGTCTTTCAAGATTATTGGTAGCTTAAAGTAGTGTTGGCCTGTTCCTGTGCCACAGTGTGCTGCCATCTTAACTGTGCCACAACAGTTATTTGTGGGAAATCAATTAATGATTAAATGAATACCCATAGAAATACCCAGCCTTCTTTCTACTTTGTTTCCATATTTTTTTTTAACAGAGCCATCCTGTGTTCTAATTACAGCAAGGCCCACAAGTAATTCTACTGGGACTCTTGTGGGAGTGACAAGCTTTCCTTCAAGTTTAAAAAAACAAACAAACAAATCAGTGAAACTTATTTAGAACATTTATCACCCAGCTAAGCACTCCAAATCCAGGAAACTTCAAAGCTTAGATTATGTGTGAGAAAATCCACTGGAAGTGGAAACAGGAGCCATTGTCTGGAGAGTGCAGAGTGTAACAACAGAAACATTTGGGGAAGAAGAGCTAGGCAGAGCTCCTAAGTTATTCTGGACTCCTGGCTCCCTAGCAGTGTCCCTGTGTGAGCTAGGGAGCTGTGCAGCTTTTCCTGCTGCTTTTCCTGAAATCTGTTGTGTGCATATAGTCTTGAAAATAATTTTTTAAAAATTGTACTTGCTGGGCTCGTACTTGCAGGCAGTTGTAGTTAGCACGTTCGGTTATTTCAAAATTTGGAAGACAATACAAGTTACTTAGAATAATTGAGTCTTTTTTTCTTATTATTCTATTCTTCATTGTGTGCACATACCTGGCAATTTCCCAGAACAAAGTACAAAATACCAGCTTTCTGTAAATGCCAAGAATTGGTCAAATAGGTTATTGTCACATATTCACATCATTATTTATGCTGTTAGCAGTTATCATTAGTAAATCAAAACATCAGTGAGGATGTTTTCGGAGGTAAGAGCTAGACTCAGATACCCACTATCTTTTGATTTGAGTGAGGCACCTAATATCTTCTGGAAATTGTGAGGAATTTGGGAGTGATGCTGTGTTTGAGGAGCTGTACAGAAATATCTCTGTACACTTTGAAGTGATTAAATGCTACCATTTGGTAGAAATAGCTTTCTTCCTTGCTCTCTGCTGATAAATAGAAGTCTGAAAAGTTGGGAAGTGCAGTCTCATGCATGTTCAAGAAGCTGTTCAAGGGTGGGAGTGAGCAAGCAAGTTCTTTGCCGAGTTAGATTATCAAGTTTGAATCAAATTCTGCTTCTGGGCTATTGAAGGACTAGCAAGTGATAAGCACACAAACCATTCATTCTGTTATTTCATTGACTAGCCCATCTCTCAAGCCAGATGTGTGCACCAGAATGGCTGTCTAGTACCTGGACTGTATATTTTCTGGGCCAGGGCTAGCTTACCTATCACTTCTTTGTGTACTACCTAAAGAAAATGTAGGTACCCTGATTTTAGGTTTAAGGTTTGGGTTCCTTGCTGCCTTGGCTGGAATGCTACAAATAGCATTTGCTGAACTTGCAAAATGTAGAGTTAGCATCTATGTTATATACTATTAACTTTCTCTGGTCATGTATGATTGACCTTAGTGAAGTGGATAAGGGCCAAGATAGTGAAAAATGGGGTCCGTCAGGAAAAAAAAATAGGAAGAGGGAATAGCTCTTCTGTAGTCTAGCTTATTAAATAAGCACATGAACAGAAGTGGTGGGATTTAGAAAACGTTGCTTTTGGCTTGAATGATTGCGAAAGCAATATTCAATAATGCAGAAAACTCAAAAGTTCTGTTCTTTTCTCCCTTCCTTTTCCTCAATTTCTCTCCTCCACCTCACCCACCCTTGTTTTGCTCTGCTGTTTCCCCTAACAGGTGCTGCTGCTGATTGATATCCAGGTTTCTTACATCAACACTAACCACGAAGACTTCATTGGCTTCGCAAAGTATGTATATAGAGACTTGGTTATAAAGACACTGTCAGTTGGAGTTTTTTTCCTTTTTAACTAAGTTCAAAACACAAGTCCTGAAGTGGGACAATGAAGATGCAAGCTGCAAAGGCCCCAAGGTGCAGGAGCATGCACTTTTTCAATATACACGGTGTTGAACTCTGTCCCACTTGTAGGGGTTTCTTTACCCTAGTTCACAAGTCTGGTTTTGCTGAAGCTTATGTCTTGATCTGGAATCATGTGCATCTGAGGAAGCAGTTTTGGCAAGCTGATGCCCTCACTGTATCCATTTTAGGACCACAGAAATTTATAATATTGGTGGTCTTTCCACATTGTTGTTAATGCATATTTTAGGAGCTGTGATTCTGTGTGAAACAGTTTTGCTCAGAGTAATGGATGCCACTGAATTATAAGTGTGCCTGCTGTTTGGCTGTAGAGAATAATAGTTGCAGAATGTCCTGCAGGGCCTGGTTTGACGTTCTCCTCGCTTAATTGAAAAAGCTGTGAGAATATTCTCCAGAATGTTCTCCCTCAGCTTCCAGCAATTTGTGCCTCAGGGACTTCATACCAACATTTTGACACTAGTAAAAACATTAAAGATGTCTTCACTCTTTGAAGAATAAATGTTCCTTCAGTCATATTCATGCTGTATTTGCCGTAGCAGTGTTTGGAATCACAACAGGTTTCATCTGTGTGGGATGCTGGCAACAAAGTTTGGCACTGCAGTACATATTTGCTATCGCCTATTCTAGTTAGCACTGTGAAGGAAGGTCTACATCTGTGGCAGTATGCCTTGAAGGTTTAAAATGCGGAGTTCAGTAAGCTGAGAGGGGAGAAGGCAAAGCCAGGCACTGTTTATGTGTTTGGCTTGAGCAACTTTCTCTAGAATTGTTTGCAGGTCCTACATATCTTTATCAGTTCTCTTGACAAATGACAGGATGTTGTAGGAATGGTAGCTGGCCTTCTAGACGTCAAGATAACAACTTGCCTGCTGTTTACTTCTCTTCATCCTTTTCTGACAGGAAAAAAGCCTGCTAAAAACACTCCATATATATTCATGGTGTGTGTTGTGACCTTGGGAAGTGACATAGTCCAGCCCCCTGCTCAGAGGAGGGTCAATTCTGAGTTCAGACCAGGTTACTCAGGGCTTTGTCCAATCAGATCTGGAAGAGTTCTAAAATCAGAGATTCTCCAGCCTCTCTGTGCAGACTGTTCCAATGCTTGCCTCTCCTCACTGTGAAGATTTTTGCTTGTGTCAGGTTGGAACCTTCCACATTTTATTGTCTAGGATTCTGGAGTGCCACATATATCTGGAGCTATTTCATTACATCTCTGCCCTGGAAAAATCCTCCCCATGGGTGCTGCTGCTGGGGCCTTTAGTTCAGTCTGTGGTCCTTACTGCTATGTCTTTTCCAAGGAGTTGCAGTGGCTGAGTTCAATTTCTTGGGAAAGCTGCTTCCTCTTTTGCCAGTTGAGATCTAGAAATCCCCAGCCGCTGTGCAGAGGGCATAAGCAGATAACAAATGGCTTTTTGCTTAAATTCACTAATAAGTTTAAGCAAGTGTTTCTATAGGTTGAAACTGATGGGAAGGGAATTATCTTTGTTGACTTGTGCTTAACTGGAAGAGAAAACTTGGATAACTAAGGACAATTTAAAATGTAAAATACATTCTTTTATGGGCTAAACAGTAGAAAATACACATTTTAAACTATAATCATGTTATTGTTATAGTAATTATGTTAGAACTAGAAAATACAGTATCTAAACATCCTGGACTATAGATGCCCCAGATTCCCTACTGTTTCCTTTCTTTTGCTGAGTCTTCTTGCCAGTTGTCTCATGTGACTGCAGTGTTTTCTAAGTGTAAATCCTGTGAACCTTGTTCACAACAATGAGAGGCCAAGACATTTCAAACTACCTTGCAAGCATTGTAGGGCCTAGGGCAGGTACAGTGCAATGTGAATTGACTTGAGAAGGATTTAAGTATGCCAATATTTAGAACAACTTTGCATAGTTAGGAAATTGTGAGATCTTAAAATATTAAAGTTTGTCTCATTTAGCAGAACAAGTGGTAAAATGTTGGGATTGGGTTTGTTTCCAGTTGATGTAACTCAGATGTAGCCTCATGCTTCAATCTGCATAAAGAGTAATTTGTATTTAGAACAGTAAATAGAGGACCAATTGCTGGGCTATTTCTAAAAGGCATAGGTTTCTTAGTATGATGTTAGTGGTCTAATTTTCCCAAGTGGTCTAAGGTGATAAAATAAAATTAAAAAACAAAACAAAAAAAATCCCTAACTGAACCAAAAGAATGGCAATTAGGTTTCCTAAAGCCACCTCATGCATGTTTCTCAAACAACAGATCGGAATTGGTGAGTGGTTAGTGTTGTGTTTTCTGTGTGTACATATTTAATCATAATTTATGCACCAAAGCTTATGCAACTCAGACGATGCACCAGAGACATGCAGTGTTGTTTGGTCAAAAGGATCTGGATGACTGAGAGCTAAAGCCTAGCGAATAGGCATGTGGCATAAACATCCTTGTGGGTCTTCTCACAGACAGCATGTGGACTGCTGGTTTGATAGAGGGCAGGATCAGAGTTGGGATGGGGCTGAGTTTGGTGCTTCGGCAATTCTTTGGAACAGCAGCTGTGCTCAAAACAGTGGCAGGGTTGGCCCATAGGCTGTGATCCAAGTACATCTTTCTTTCTTACTCTTCCAGAGCAGTGTCTGTAGCTGATCTAATATGTATGCTTTTTTCTTCAGTTAATCAATTCCTGGTGAAATGGTATGATCTAATCCAAACAAAACTTCCTGTTAGCAGTGGCTGCTCTGGTGGTTGAGTAGCCAAAGCCTGCTCTCTGAACGCTTTTATTCCTCTTCTAGCAATATTTTAATTTTGTGGCCTAACACTCAGAAGCCACCACATAATGCAAATGCTTTTAGAATTAATGGCAACTTGTATGTATGTTTTTGAGACAAGAGTATGTTTTGTTTCAGGAACAAAGATTACCATAGTTCAAGAATTGAGCAAAATATTTAAAATATGGTTTAATTTCAAATATGCTCTATTCTTATATGATTCAATTTTTTTGAACCAGCTTTGTGATGGCTTGATCCATTGGTTATATTTACACCCTCAAAGTGCATATAAATATTAGAATAATATCCAAAACAAACTGTCAAGACAAAACTATTAAGGAGCCTCCAGCAGGGGAGGATTTTGTTGTACTGCACTAAATAACAGAAGTGGCTTGCTTTTAGTCTCTTTTGAGTATTTATAGAGGCTAATGTTTCCAAAGTTACCCACAAGAGCCATAATTTCTCTGTGCTTTTAGTAACCTTTACCAATCCAAGTAGGATGTTGTTACAAAGGAGATGACTAGTAGGAGCAGTCTGCTGTGCATGTCCCTTCTGTCCTAAGCAGGCATTCCTATACTGTAAGAAAAAGTAGTTGAAGTATGCACATATATGCAATGATTTTGCTGTGTTTCTTTGTTACTTTGGCTTTCTGTGTTGGAATCAGAAGTAACTATTACTGCTAAAATCTATTCCTCGGGAACTGGTTTAGTTCAAGTTTCTTCAGTATAACTCTTTTCCTCTGCTTCCCTTAGTGCCCAACAAAGAAGCAGTCAGGTTAACAAAAGTGCAGTGGGAAATCAGGTAGGCACCTAACAGAGAATGGATAATGGCATGCGCAAGTTAATCCAAGCTGTTTGGTTTTCTTGGCTGTGTTTATTTGTTGTAAGTGCGTCATTTACCTTTTCTGCTTCAAACATACATAAAGTGCGTCATCATCACCTTGTTTTACTGAATTTTTCAGAGCCACCTGACTTTCATTGTTATCACCATTTATTGTTTAATAATTCTGCTAGTGCTTGCACTGCTGGTTAGTGTCTCCCCTCCCACGCCATTTAGTGCATCAAATCTTTCATGATTTTTGTCATTAACTGCAAACTTGTGAATTTCAGAATCCAAAATGCTGGTGAGTACTTGCTTGTGTGTGCTTTGTCATAGTTGTTTTACTAGTTCTTGCATGTTCACAGCTTAAGAGCAGTGAAGAGGCAATTCAGCAAGCAAAAGCAGATTTGCCTTTACCTCTTCTGAAAACTTTCAGCTGACTTCACAAAGGTGTTGATTATGTACCATAGGCCTCTCTCAAAGTAAACAAAGAATAACTGGTTGATGGTCTCAGATTGATTAGCATTTTCACTGAGATTCATTAATGAAATTACTTGTTTGTTTCTTTTTAATCACATAAGAATATGGGATTGATTCTGCAAGATGCTAAGTGCTCCTGAGCTTTGCTTCTTTCTTTGCTTTTGTGTGTGCCGGGGTGCTCAGTACTTCACAGGATCAGTCCTTTTTTTCATGTGAGATGAAAATAATGAAAATGCTACAACCTTGAGGGTTTCTGCTCATTTTGAGGGTTTTGCAAAGTCTTAAAAAGAAAGAAAATGTTACGGAATTAGTATGTGCTTTAAAAGGAAATTAAAAAAATCTAGTAAAAATAAGACCAATATTGAATGTCTTCCTGATGTTTTCATGTGCAATTTGGTCTAACAATGCTGAGGAGGTGAAAGGTCAAGGTTTTCAAATGTGACCAGAGTTTAGGCCCCTCAGGTGATAAACCTGACATTTCAGAAGTCTCCTATTCTGCTGTTGTAGATGTGAGTTCTAGCATTTTTTGAAAACTTAGTCAAATCATTCTGGGGATAGAAATCCAACATCTTCTTCCCACCAAGAAATTGCTAATTACTTTTGATGTGTCATTTAAAATAATCTATTAACTTCTTGGATGTGATGGTCCCCCATAGACTGACCAGCATGAGTGGCATTTTTGATGTAGTATGTGGTTTGGACTAAAATGAAAAAAGTTGGAAGGTCTAAACACTGAAATGGCTTCAAAGACTAGTCTCTCTCCTCTGAGGAGAGATTTCCTTCTTATCTAGCTGTTCCGGAACATGTGTCAAACACAACAACGGTCATCACTTTGGAGGGTCCCATAAAAGGAAAATTGACCAATTATCCGACTCTTTAAAAATACACAAATAAAAGGAATTATTAAATTAAAAGGAATTAAAAAATTAAGTGAATGTGTTCTCTCTAAAGAAGTGGAGAAAAAGCTTGGCGTTTTAAATTAAATGCTGAAACTTGATTACTTTTGGTATAAAGGACTTTGCTGAACCTTTTACGTTAAAGATAATAAACAGATGTTTGTAAGTTGATTGTTTGGAGTTGAAAAGAATGAGAAAATGTTTCTGAAATAAAACTTCATTTTTGCAATTTGCTATTTCAGGGAACCAATCTACCGCCTTCAAGGCAAATTGTACGAGCTAAGTTCTGTAAGCTTTATTGTTGCTTTTTCATTTAGCTTTTCAGAGGGCAAAGTTTGTCTCTAACTCATTGGTTTGTTGAATACTTGCTACTAAACTATTTAATGTTAAACTGTCCTGTCTGTAACACTTCCTCAACAAAGTATAATTGCAGTTCATCACTTAACTGCTACTAACCTGCTGTTACAAGTATGAACTAGTATAACTTAAAATGTTGTACAAAACTTTGAATAAAATTAATATTTTTAGAATTTACTGAGTTTCTCAAACTAAAATGACTAACTGGTGTTTATTTTATTATATAACTGGAAAGCAGTTTTTACCTGATGTAAGTGCCTCTATTCATAGTAAACCTCTTTTTGAACGGTGGGCAAATAAGTTTCTGGTAACCAGAAGGAAACATTAGCTCTTGTGTAAATGAACATGCTGTTTATAGGTACAGGTACTTTCTTGGTATTTTGTTTATGTAAAGAAATTACTTCTGATAGAAAAAGTGAGTTTTATTAAGAAACTTAGAAATATTTAAAGCCTTTTTAGCATTCTTTTTGTAGCACCAGGAGGATCAGTATATCATGGACAGACTCTTTTCTAACCCTTCCACCTCATCAGTAAATAAATATGTGAATGCCTTTAATATTACTAATTAGAATTAATTGTCTAAACAGCAGTTAATTTTATAACAAGTTACTCCTGATTCAGTGATGGTTAGGTGTAAGAAGCAAATCTTGGTATTGTGTGTGTTCTTTGGCAATATCTATGATGACAGCGCATACATTTTTCCAGTTTGTTGCCACATCATCAAATTATATTAGCTATCACTTCAAACAAACTTAAACTAAACTTATGCTTAATAAAGGAAAAGAACTAGGCAGCACTGATTCTAACAGCAGATGAATTGAATCTCTTGGGAGATCAAAATCATTAAGTTTTCCCAGTGGGATGCTTACTTGCAATCTATTGCTTTTCTTTTTTGTAGCTTGCTTTGACCTGGAATGATGCAGATAACTATTAACTATTTCTTTGTATCTCAGAAGTAAGATGAGCGCAGCAATATTGCATTTTTGGAAGAAGTGTAATGCCAGTTCCTCTTAACATGTTTTTGCTCCTTTTTCTTCTACTAATTTATCCTCTCACACTTAATCTTTGGCCTTTTTTGTTTGTCTTTTCTTTGCTACCGCCTGAGGTTTTGACCTGACTCCACAAAGTTTCTTTTTAAGCCACAGGTTAGTCTGTCTTCTAATTTGCTTGAAATAATCAGTGTAATGCTTGGTTTTATACAGCACACTAGCAAGATCTGGTTCCTGAAAGCTGACCCACTCTTAACTGTGTATTTTGTGTGTTGAGATTTGCTTTGGTGACTAAAATTTAGTGTTTAAAGCTCCCCTTCATGATATACCTTTGAAGATGAAGGTGTCATTGCTCCATGTGCCCACTGTATACTCTGTGTGTGAGAATGCAAGATAGTCAAATTTTAGAGGATTATATTTAATTTATATGAAATTCTGCTTTGTGTTTTACTTCTGTGGCAAAATCTGCTGCTGTGGAGAAGGGACTTAATCTGAACTATGAGTTTCAAGTCGCTGTCCAAGTGATTTGGAGGTTTGGGTTTGAAGGCTTTGTTTGACCTGCCTCATTTACAGTGTTACGCCAGCAATCTGATTCACTTGTTCTGGACACAAGTAGCATTTTGACCCCATCAGTTGGTCTGAACTATAGTGCTAATAATAGTAACTTTTTGCCTAATAATCCCTTTTTTCTTTTTAATCCTGCTTTGTAGCATACTTTGCTGCTTCTTTTCTTCAGATATACTTAAATCCTGCTACCTTGCCTGACCCAAGAAAAAAAATGGTTTACAGAATTTTAAGTAGATGGAAATGGAAACTTGTACCATGGTCAGGGAGATGGTCATGAAAAACTATGACAAGGCTGTTCTGTTAAGAAATGCCAGTGTTTCTGTAAAAGAGGTGATGCCCATGGACAACCACGTGATACCAAATTTTGAAATATCCTTGAATGAGATACCTTGAATTTTCACCTTATGAAGAGTAGAGAAGTATTGCTCTTCTAAGTGGCCTTTAACTATTCTTATTTTTTAGGTTAAGATTCCTTCATGATTGGCTTATCACCTCAATCTTTGTTTAACTACACTTAGAAACATGTTTCAGTTTTTCACTACTGAGTGCTTTGCTTCAGTAAAGACTAAATTTTTCATTAAAGTAGGCATGTGTTTAGGACTTAAGCCACTGTCATTATTTTTAAGTTATGCAATATATTGTGCAGTGATTTTTGGGCCAGCAATGTCACAAGATCTTGTTGTGGTCAGTATCGGAACAGATCTGATTAGTTTATGCTCTGACATATGGCAAATTACAGTGAAATGCTGTATTAGGTTCCCCTCTAGTATGTTGTTCCTTTTTAGCCTCTCTAGAGCAAAAATCTTCTTATTTGAACCCAAAGAAACAATAGCTTGTAACGATGCCTCACAGAGTAGTTTTTGCAATTTTTATTCTCCGTGTGCTCACTGTTTGCTAACACATGTTGTTATGACAGTGATTACAAGATAGAGTAGTGCTGGGAGGTTGTGTTGTGTGTTCAAAATTATTTCAACGGTATTACCTAACACAGCTTTAATGGAGAGTTATGTTAACTCAACAAATGCTGCTGCTTGTATTGTTGTGGAAGTAGCTAGTCTCATGATTTTCACACCTGTATTTTTGTCTGCCCGGTCAGTCTCACTTATCTCTCATATTGAAATCATCTTTCAAATACTACTTTTAAAGAAATGGAACACGCTCTGATTCTCTAATGTATTTCTTTTACAAATACCCTATTTGATTTAATGGAATGAGTAAGTCATGCAGCAATACATAAAATGTACTTACTGTGTTAAATCCTGCTTTCCTGTTTATCTATGAAGTGGTGCAGAATAAGAACAACACATATGATTTGGGTTTTGTGCAGCTGAACTATCAGAAAATGACTTCCTTCTGGCTGCTTCATGTGCATTCGTACCGTTTAAGTTTCATTTTTCAGACACCCAGATTAGGTATCAGGACCCTGAAGGAAGGAACTGTGTCATCTCTTGTTCATCCTGTACATGGAGTCCAACTACCGGTCAGAATATTGTCTTCACTAGTTTCTGGCAATGCCCATATTTTCACCTTCCTGAAGTTCATAACTCATGTCACTAATATCCGGCTTGCACAGAGTGACATTTAGAAATATGATAGAAAATATTGAAATGGATCTCTTAAATCCAAACCAACCAGAAAATGAACTAGTGAACACAATAATGAAACACACTACTTTCATTTTTCAAGCTGAAGTACTATACAATATAGCAAACACAATAGTTTAAAAACAAAACAAAACACTCCTCCCATCAGAGTTTTTTTAACTTCAAAAGTCTTTTGAAAATCTTTGGTGGTTATTGCCCATGGAAGGACACTGATTTTTTTAAAATATAGCTTGAATTATTTTTTGCGAAATTGGCTGGAGTCTAAGGTGTAATTCAGCTTCTCTGGAAAGTAAAACCGTGTCGTTTAATCTCACTATATTTTGCACTTACATGTTGATCAGACATTTCTCTCCCCCTGACCCCAACACTGGTACTGAGTATTTTGAAAGCGTAGCTTTTTGTAGTTAACATAATGTGCTTGGGAAATGGGAACAATTCGATGAAAAGAACATGAGGCTTAGCACACTAAGCTAGTCTTCTTTCTCTTGATGTCCCCTGGAACTGCTTCCAAGTATTTTGGATAATTATGAGCTGTTGTAGTGTCCAGGATATTTTACAGAACACAGTACCCTGTTTTCTCAGAGGGGTATAGATAAACAGGTCTAGAAATTTGCAAACGAAAAACACGTACCCAAGATATTGCTATAGCTTTGTGCCCTGCTCTTCACTCAGGGTTGTGTGGGAATGACAGCTGGATCTAATCCTCAGCACACAGGACTTTTGAGGAAACAACTGGCAAATTCCTTCCTTTACAAGACAGTGACCAATGTTTGTATTAGCAAGTCATCTTGTTTCTGTGCACACCCAGTGATGGGTATGCATCTGTGGGGAGACGCGTTGGACTGGAGCTAGACAGTCTTCTGGAGCTATGCAACTGATGTAGTTCCTGCATTAGAAGTATTAAAAGCTTCTTTACTTCTTAAATGGCTTATATAGTTTAGATTTTAAAATCTTGAGTCAATCTGTTCTGAGATCTCTACAAGTGCATTCTTGTCAAACTGAGAAGATTTGACTCTTGTTAACATGCTACAAAGCCTGCGGTAATGATGAGGGAAAGCACTGAATGGAATAAGCAAAGACTGCTACTTCCCTTCCCTTCTAAGTGCTCATCACCTATAAGGTTCTTGAACATGCTACTTGGGTGTTTCTTACTGGTTTGCTTGTAGAAACCACCCCTTTATCCCCACTGTGACATCCATCTTCAAATCTTTCACTTTCTCTAAGATGTGTGGCCAAACCAGTTTTCAGTAGTGTGCTGGCCCGGCTGCCTGCACTTCCTGTATGTGGATATGCGCAACATAGAATTTTCAATTGCAGACAGCATAGTTCAACAGCATCCTCTCTCATAGCCTCTTATTTCAGCTTCTTTATAACATGTGAATAACCATCTTTACCCATTAGCAGCGAAGTACTTAGTCTGCTGTACAAATGTAACTCACCATGTTGCGAAGCTAAGTTCAAGTGGTTGGGGAACCCTAATTTCCTGGATTTTTCATAAAATTTCTTCCATTTGTGTTTGTGTAGTTCAGTGCAGAAAAAAAATGAAGTTAGCTTGGTTTCACAGCTTATTCTGTGGCAGTTGCTTGAAGGCTAGTGTACTGGCTATATACGCATGTTGCTTGTTTCCTGTTAAAAGTTTACTTCAATAAATACTGTAAAATAAAATGAGGATTTGACTGGGTAGTCAAGTTCGTATCAGTATGTTTCCCTTAACTTGCACTCGGGCAAGCATTCCATGACTATTTGTACTCAGCAATGCCCCCTCTCTACTTCCACCCATGCCCCTTCACCCAATGAACATGAATATTAAAAATAATTGCAAACTTCTGCAGAAACCTTTGTGGTACAGGCTATTCCATCCAGTCTGCTTGTGCTGTACTCTTGAGTCTCTATACGGGAGTCATGTCCAGTTCTCTCGTAGCTTACTGAGTCTTCAGAAACAAATCAATGCTTTCTTAGTGATTTTTTTTTTTTTTTTTAAAACAGGCTGAAAACCTATAGATTGGTTTTGGGTCTTCAGTGGTTTTCTTACACTGTTGGCCTGGTTGGTAGTGAGTGGGAAAACATGATCATCTTATTTTAAGTGAAATTGATACTCTTGGATTATGTGCGTTACCAATACTTTTACCAGCTTTCCAGGTGCAACTTTTGATCTCTTTCTTTGGTTTAGTTACCAAATACAACTTTGGTATTGCACAGAGCAAGGAACTAAGCTTTTCTTTTCAGGGAGCTTACATGAATGTGCATGCTGAATGGGAGTGAATTACGATTCTGAAATTTTTGTAGGTGACAAAGAATAGATACCGAGTAATGTTTCTCTCTGGTTATCTGTTGATATTGGAGTTACTAGTCTTATAAAGCCCTATGAGAGGGATGTCACAGTCCTGTGTATTTCTCTAAAAGCAAGAGGAAACTCATGTTTGATCACACAAGTCCATGCTTGTGAGACTTATTGAGGGAGTTCTGAAGGGCCTCTCTGAGCACTGCTTCTCTCCATCTCAATGCTTTGTAGGCAAGTAAAGGGCATTGCTATGGGGAGAAGCAGAATGGCTGAGGTTCCTTGCATCTGTGTGATTGGGAGAGTTCTGTTGTCTTGTTCAGAGTATAATAGGAAGGAACATTTGTTTTCTCATATACATATTGGAAAACAAAAAATGTTCCAATAAAATTGGAATGTTCTATGTGATCCATAAACCAGTTCTCATGAGCATTCTCTCTTCTTCATCTCTGGAGTTCTCTCATTCCTCTTAAGTTTTGATGTAGCCTCCTGGCCTTAGTAATTTATAGGTATGCTGTTCCCATTTGTTCATTCATCTTTGACTTGTAACTATTTTATAAAGTTCTGCGTTACCCATTTTCCCCCCCTGATTTTTATTGCAGCCTTAGTGGTTTTTTTTTCCTCTTTTCTTTCCCTCTTCTACCTTATGAGAGGAAAATAGCTCTCATATACCTCTCCTTATCACTTCCGATCTTAATTTCAAATTAACTGTAGAACACCTCCCTATTTTGTCACTTGATTCAACCCCTTCTGAAAATTCCCAGTGCATGCCAGAAGCCACTCACTTTGCCAGAATCTAGGTGCTTCTCCTAATATCCAACTTTACAAATGACCTTAACAATTAGACTAGACCAAAGTAGTTGTATATAAAGTTGTATGGACTACTACAATCTCTAGTTATACAGCAAATAAGTTTCTTCAACTTTACATGATCCTTAATGTGCTCATGCTTGCTGTAAGTACAACACGATAATACTTAAGCTCCTCTCTTTCTTCAACCTTTTGACTTAAAACACTACATTCACTTTGTTACTTTTTTTTTTCCTTGACTTTGGCAGAGACTGAAAAAATACACCTGTTTTTGTTTTATTTAGCAAGTCTTGATTTAAAAGAATGAATGCAGCAGCAGAATTATGTCAAGTGAGTAATGAACTAAACTTGTGCCTGACTGCACCTCTGCACAGGTCATCCGGAAAGGCTGGCTGACCATCAACAATATTGGCATCATGAAAGGAGGATCCAAGGAATACTGGTTCGTTCTAACTGCAGAAAGCTTGTCCTGGTATAAAGATGATGAGGTAAGGAATGAAGAACTTTTTTGTACTGGGGAAAAAATGAGTATTTATTCAGTCTGCTGATATCAGCTTAAAATATTAAATCAGCTTGTATAGACTCGAACTGAAAGAATGTTTTAAGGTTTTACCTGTGTTCTTTAAATTTTCTAGTTTTGATTAATGGAGAATGCTGACCTTCTAAGACTTCTGTTGAAACGTTGATCACACAACACCCTGTATTTATGTTGAGTGTTTTGGGGGGGTTTGGTGGTGTGTTTTTTTTATGTTTTCCCTCTCTTCCTGTGGTTTCCACACATTGGTCTTTGGAGAAAAAAAAAAAAAAAACAAACCAAAAAAAAAACCCACTTGATTTTGAATGTTCTGGTTATTGTCCTATGCCTGTTTGGACTACTCTTGCACATCTACTGGAAGTTGATCATAAATTGTCTAAGTAAAGTTGCTTCTAAGAGATACTACAGCAACTGATTTAATGAGAACAATTGTTCTCTGGCCTCATATTTTGAGAGGATGAAAAGCCTGTCTGCAGAGTTCTGTAGCTGGTTGGTATGGATTTTCAAATTTGACAAAAAAATGCACTGTGGTAAGAAATGTCACTGCTGATCAGTAAATCTGAGGTGAGTAATACGAGAATTGGAAAAAGCATTTATGTGATAAACAGGACATCCAGATTGCTCACTTTATTGAATATGTTGTTAGGCAACTCATCTGTTCGGCTTTTTATTTTTTCAACTAAGTGCGTATCATTACCAACAATCTAAAACTCTAGCAGTCTTTTTAATTTTTGAAAGTTAAAAAGGGGTTTATTATGTGCACTATCAGCTTTACAGTAAAGCCCTTGTGGTTTTTTTTAAGGTGTGTGTTGGTTTTTGTAGAAAAATTGGGCTACATTTAAAAAAAAAATCCCATTATTTTCTGAAGTTTTACTTTTTAAGTTAAATGTTTTCAGCAAAATTTTAGTCATTTTTAGGGTGAACCAGTTTACTGGATGGAAGAGGTACAGGTAAAGGGAGTTTTAAATGAGCTCTAAAACATCACTTAATCTTTCAATCTTATTCTAAGTAATAATCAAACCACTGCCTTACCCCAACAAAACAAGGAGTTGTGCAGACAATTCATGTTCTGTTTAAACTGAGTGTTTACTGTAGTGGATTTTCTAGAACCACTGGGGAGAGGTCCTGAAATGCTCTAGCTTATGCCAGAGCTCTGCTGAGTCCTGTGAATCCAGAATGTGGTACTTCTTGTGGGTAGTTACGTCAGTAACGCTGCCGGTGGTGGAAACTGCGCTGGTCAGTAGTGTTTTTTTCCTGGGTCAGCAGCCATTTGGGGATAGACCTTAAGACTGAGGGACAAATTAGGTTAATCTTTAAGATTTTGCCCCCTTGTTTAAGTTTTAAAGGGGTTCAAATGTATTCACTGTAACGGAAAAATGAGTGCATGTCAGACAGAGGGGAGGAGCCAAGTGTCAAGAGGGGAGTTTTATTCTCAAATTACTGAAATATAATTTGAAGTATCTTATTGTAATGATATAAAAATTAATTAAAAAGAAATGCAGAAGTGACTTTATGAATTTGAAAATTTGAAGCTGGTTGTGGTTTTTTTTTTTTTTTTGTGAACTACCTTGAAGCTGCTAGAACTCGTTGACTAAGATTAGCTACAGGTAACTGTAACTATAATAAGTGGTGTGGTGAGGTTAAGACTCCTTGCAATGTTCTGTCTCAGGCAATTGGAGTTGCATCCAAGATGGGCTGTGGCAATTTTTTAGGCAGTTTTGGTGTTGCTGCATCTGATCTTTGTTTAATGTGAAATATAAAAATTACTGAAAATACTTACGGAATGTCTTCTGTTATGCAACTTCAAAAATAGTTTGTTTTGATAGTCTGCTAGGGAGAGTCACCTGGGAATCTCAGAATGGTATGTGGAGGGAGATGGCCACTGTCTGACTTCTATATGCATATTTTAAAATAATGTCTGTTGATGGCCAAACAGTTGTGTTTTGAGAGTCATGAAGTATGCATATTTTAAAATAATGTCTGTCGATGGCCAAACAGTTGTGTTTTGAGAGTCATGAAAATACCAGTAGTTCATTCAGACCAATATGGGGGATCACTCAGGAATTTTTGAGAGTAGTAAGAGAACATAACAGCATAGTACTAGTCCATGCTTTGCTGGTGGAAGAAGTTCCTCCTTAAGTACAGATTTGCTGTATAATTTGATTACTCTGTCCTGGGAAAGAGAAGAATGGATTTTTTTTAATTTTTTTTTTTTTACTGGGCCTTTCTCAGTAAGTCTTCAAAAATTGGCAAGGTCTGTTTTAGATGCTTTCTGAAGAAGGTCAAAGCCGCAGCTTGACCATTAAGTTAGTCAAAAGATGAGTGACTTGTTTCAGAAACAGAACTAGTGGCATCTGAAAATAAAGAAGCAAATACTTGATCTTCTGGCTGAATTCCAGTTTTTATAACTACATTTCGTCTCCTTAAAATGTTCTTCTCACTTCCAGCTTGGTTTGGTAGTTGTCACATCCTGTTCTCAGATGATTACTGAAATGACTGCATGCTGTTGTATTTCCACCCTAGTAAGATAAGTAGTCTTCAGTGATGTGTGAAGTGATACCCATGTTTATGTGTCTGGACTGTGCCTGGGCTCAGTGTGGCTGTGCACACTGTGAGGTCACGGGGAGTTCAGATCCCCCGTGCCTCCCACTCGGGTGGTCACTTCTGCAGTCCTTGCACAGTAGCAAGAGCCTCTCCATCGCAGCTGGGGAAGATGCAGAAAGCCAGGTCTCACCTTTGTTCTTCTGCCACAGGGATGAGTTTGTTCCCCCTGCGCCTCTACCCCTGAGTAAGGAATGTTGCAGCAGCTTGTGTGCCAGAGAGCTCTGACAGTGTACTTTACAAAGCTATAGTGCTCGCTGGGACCTCTTGGGGCTGTGTACCCCCTCTAGTGTAAGCTGAGCCCATTTTCTACAGTCTGGAATTTACTCTTGAGATGAAAATCACTCTCTGAATGCAAGTGGTTGCTTGCTAGTGCCATTAGAAGGATGTAAATTATTTCCTTTATTTGTGAGCTACAGCTTTTATAAGTGAAGAATCCACAGTGGAATGCATTTTGAAGCAAGTTACTTTGGCAAAAGATTTCAAAATTTGTTGTATGATACCAGTATTGCAAAAGAAACGATTGACATGCTGCTCAAACATACAACAGTATTTCATTCCTGATGAGATGGGAATCAATGCCTGAGAATGTTTTTTAGCCTTGTAATTATGGAAATATCAAGTTGATATTTGAACAGTGTGCTTGAAGTATCAGTTATGTGAATACTAATCTGGGTTAGTTTCTGATCCTACATAGCTGCTTGTGTTCATAACTTCGCTGCGTGACCAGTACCACGACTTTGTGCTTTTCCACTTGCTTAAAATGAAGCAAGGAAAATACTGTGTACTATTGTAAGTAAGTTAGTTGTAAGTACTGTTGTAAATACTGTTGAAAGTAAGTACAAGATTAGTGCATTCGTTGACCTCACAAATACAGATTTCTTTCCTAGGGTATTCCATGTAATACTAGCTAAAGTATTAAAAGGCATACCTACCACACACACACAAGAGATTAGATCTGAGTGTCTTAGCTCTCAGTTGTTTTGTCAGGTAGCACAAAAAGCTGTAAGCTTTTGTGCTGAGGTTCACTTGAAAGTCAACCTGCAAATGTGAAGTTTGTGAATTAACCACTCCTGGTTAATGGACTTTGGAAATGTGGAATGCCATCCTGGCTTGTGAATCAAAAAGCTCTTTATTGTAAACAAAAGGATGCCATTTGTAAAGTGGTTTAGCATTTTTACAGAGTATGGTCAGAGAATGGGACTACTTTATTCTTTTCAAAGCAGAGGTTTTGCTGGCATTATTGGTGTGCAAAGGATGCCAAGCTGGGCTCTAGGTAAGAACTTCAAAAAATGTGAAATTTACGTTTATTGGAAAAATTCCCTTTAGTCTTATTTCCAAATAAAATATTTCCATTCTGTTTCAATAGAAGAGGATAGTATTGTCAACATCCAGTGATAGATGCAGTTTGTGTTATAATTTTGCAGTTTATTCCCAATTGTAAAATTCTGCGTGATTTCGGAGGGAGATACAAAAATAAGTGAGGAGGTGAGAGAGTGAAAAGGGGAGAAGTTACTCTGACATTGTGTATGTTTACAGAGTTAACTTGCCACACAATAAGCTGCTCTCAGCTTCTGTGGCTAGCA